CCCCCCCCCCCCCCCCCCCGTAAAATGGGAAATCAGAGGTGTAATCAATGGCCAAGGAATATTTGCCAAGACATTTAGAAAACAACAAACAGACAACTATTAGGATCAGCCATGTTGTAAATATTTACTTTTCTTGGCCGCTGCCTTCCCCTCCGCCGTCTCCTTCTGCCGGCCGCTACTTTTGTCCTTGATGTCCGCCTCAAAGCGTGCCAGCTCCGCGTCTAGTTTGCGGATGTGTTTGTCCACCTGGGAATGAATAAAACAAGATTACAAGTCTTGTTACTATGGAGTAACATATAAAGAAAATAAGGAGGAGAGATGAGGAAGATAGATGTTGGACAGGACAGAAAGAGTAAACCACACCAGAGCACCTGCCAACCACCCAATCTTTTATCGGGTATCTTGGTCTGCTTGAATGATTCATTTAAATGTCAGCTGAAGTCGTTTGTTTTTAAATTAAAAAGATTAATATTTGGAGTGATTTTTTAAAAGTCAAAACACAACGTTTTATGTTATTGTTGTACTTTGTACTGTGGTAAAGCGCTCAGAGCCTGTGTACTTTAATCGGGGTTGAGCGCTTTGTATATAAATGTCATTTATTATTAATATATTATCCTACACAGCTACGGCTAGGCCTATCAGACAGGGTAAAAAATTTACCAGCCTCCTGAATGCCCAACATAAGTCAATGTATATAATAAATTTTTTTCAGTAAAAAAAAAAAATAATAGAAAAAAATAAAGACATACACCCACGAAACAAAATTGTAAGTAGTATAATAAACACAACCCACAACAAAACATTAAATAAAGTTACAAGTGTGAGGGAACAGTTTCATAGTAAAAGTTTTCCATGGAAATTCGAGTCCGCCACAACACAGGGCTGTCTTTACTTTTCTTAGCTGGTTACAGAGTAAAGATGAACACCACAGTGGCAGAAAGTCTTCGGACATTATAAGATGGAAAATTATAAAAATCTTTTTGTCTCAATTTAGTTGATGTGAGGAAATGAAAAGCAGGAAGTTGTCAGGGAAAAAAATTTAGAACACTCTTTCTACAACCAGTTACCTTTTTGAGATCATGTAAAAATCGAAACCATTTCAGTTTTGTTAGGCCCATGCACTGAAAGTAATCTCACTCCAAGTGTATCGGTAGAGTAAAAAACACGTTTTTCTTTTTTGTAAGTGGAAATTATCCAATACAGTCACCAATGCCCATTGGGTGAAGAGTGATTGTCTAAGGAATTTTATAAAAGACATATTTTTACAAAATGAATTTCAAAATTTTTTTGGTATTCAATTCCTCAAATGTTGTCGGACATAGTTCTAGACAGATGGTGTTGTGCGAGATGAGTTCGCAACAACAATGACGACGACGTTAACAACGCTCACCATCTCATAAGTCTGCATGGCCAGTGAGACTTTTCCGTCGCCAAACTCTCGACTTTTGCTGAACATGGACTCAATTTGGTTCAGTTGATTGGTTCTTTTCTCCGGTGACATGTGTCGAACTTTGTTCAGGTAATCCGTGGCAGCTTTATCAATTTTCTTCATCAGATCTGCAATTTCAAGGAGTAGAAGCAAAGTAAGAGGTCGGTGCCTTAGAATATTCTATTGTCTTAGTCTAAAACAGAACAGGAGAAAAAAATACTTTTTCAAAAGCAAATGTAGCAAAGAAATCATCATGAGACCGTAACATATTATTGACAAGCTGTTCAACTGTTCAAAGCCCATGAAGCAAATTTTTTTTCTGGGCAGGGGGGGGGGGAGATACAACTATTATTCTTTTTAAAAATGTGTACCTCTATGAGTCTTTACTTGCTTTTCCCAACATTTAGATTCTGAATTTCAGACAAACAAAATATTTCTCAATCTCATGAAAACCAATACCACAGTGGCAGTATCGGCTGTCAGTGAGCGCGACTAAAAACCATCTCTTCAACACAGGACAGACTTACCTTGAGACTTTTGATCCAAATCTCGCATCAGATTAAAATTCCTTTGCATTTCTGCAGGGAGCGACTCCAGACCTACATTGAAGAACAAAGAAAGTATGCGATCTGTTAGACCAGCCATGTGAATCAAGCTAAACATGAATAGATAAAAATGAATCCCAATGAATAATTCATGAGATTCAACTCAAAATATGAGAGCATGATCGATCTTAATTTTAATTGGTCTTGATGAATTGCATCATGAGTCTGTTGGGTTGGGGGGGGATTACCATTTAAATAAAAAGAAGAGTTGCTGCTAATGTATTTAGTAGTATAGTGGCACTGGCCCAGACACTTTACTAGTCTAAATTTACCCTTTAGACGCTTCAGTCAGTTAGTGGAGGCAATAAATATTAATATTTCCATGTCACAACGAAAACGATTAACATTTTAGCAGAATTTTAAACAAAAACGAAATAAAAAATAGCTGACAACAAAAGAGCACTACCTACCCGTCCGCTAAAAAACTAGCGCCAATGGCCTACTACAACTACTAGATCTAGTACTACTTGATCAGAACTTACTTTGAGGCCCAGACCAGAATACAATGAGAGAATCTGGTTATTTCTCTGACCCCCCCCCCTTCCATATTTAGAACCCCGCTGTCCTGGTTCCGGTTGACGCCCGTATCAGTCCGGCCACCCTAGCTCAGCGCACAAGCGCTGAACATCATCCGTGTGATGACCCTGTGAGTGCGTCGGCGTCAGTCTGCTTGAGTTTGTGTGCATTTGTGGCCTACTTGTAGAACCACCTGCATTGGTTCATAACCGAGGCGAGCGTCTCATTCAAAACACGCCTAGGGTTAAGGCCGTTTCTTTCACACCAGATCTAGGTATCAGATCAGATGCTCTTGACATTTTGTTCTTGCATAACCATAGATCTAGATTCGAGACATCTCTCTAGTCTAGCTCACATTTTGTTCTTGCATAACCATAGATCTAGATTCGAGACCTCTCTAGTCTAGCTCACATTTTGTTCTTGTAACCATAGATCTAGATTCGAGACATCTCTCTAGTCTAGCTCACATTTTGTTCTTGCATAACCATAGATCTAGATTCGAGACCTCTCTAGTCTAGCTCACATTTTGTTCTTGTATAACCATAGATCTAGATTCGAGACATCTCTCTAGTCTAGCTCACATTTTAAATTTTTTTTTCAACTGTCGTTTGCTGTTTCTGGTGTGAAAAAAAACCGGCCTTAACCCTGCCCGTTATTAAAAACTAAACCTGAAACTTATCTCTACAACTTATAAAAGTTATTCTCTGCACTCTGTGCTGTTCTGTGTGTGTCTCTGAGCTAGATCTAAGATTTATATATATCTAGGCCTAGGCCCGCCATAGAGCTGATAAAAATAGCCTAGGCCTACTGTATCTCTGTATCAGTATCGTGCAGCACACCTGAGGCTGAGGGCGAGGGGGGGTGAGAATAGCGAGACAGGCTATTCTCATAGCCACTTCCTTTTCAGCGTCTACGTATACACGGTAACTGGGCACCTAGTGTCAGTAGATCTAGTTGTATCTTTATGTACACGGTAACCGGGCACCTAATCTCAGTATCTACGACAGTCTATGTCACGGTAATCGGAATCAAAATAAATCAATATTTGTCCTGTGCTGTCACTTGCTGAAAAAAAAAGAAAGTCACAAAAAAAGCGTCTTGCCGGGTTCGCCATTGTGACCGGTCAGTGAACCTGTGCGTTCGCATCACATTTATATTTAATCTAGATTTCTAGATTCTATAAAATGAGTACCAGTTGGGGTCACCAAAGTTCATTCAAAGTCTGTGCGCAGCGAACATAGGGCTCTGGAAAGGGGAATTATTGATTTTTTGAAAAAGGTAGTCAGGGAATGGGTGGGGTTGAAGGCAACACCGGATGACAAAAACTGATCATGGAATTCTGAACTGCCCGGTTACCGTGTGCCGTGTACGTGACACTGAGACTACATGCCCAGTTACAGCTACCGTGTAAGTAGATATTGAGGCTACATGCCCGGCTACCGTGTACATGACACTGAGACTGCGTGCTCGGTTGCCGGATACTGTATGTAGACACTGATGGGAAGCTAGGTGCCCGGTTACCGTGTACGTAGACACTTCTCGCCAGTAGCCTACCTAAGTTCCTAAGTCTAAGAAGACTAAGTTTTGTGCCTCTTCACCCCAGGTGAGAATAAACAAAAGCAGCCAATATTAATACCTGTTCCCGGGGGCCCGAATAATGACCAGTTTATTGGCACCCCAGCCCCCGGGGCCCAAATAACCGCAGTCTAAAAATTAAAAATAATGAACACTGCAAGTTGACGATGATGAAAGGAGCCTGAATGAGAATGCAAACATTTGAACATTAAGTCAATTAAGTTACAATTTTCCCCAACCTCTTCGCAATACATCCCCTGTCTTTAAACCTGGCCCCGTACTGAAAACCCCAACACAAACAGGCCCACAAACATCCTTTAATTTATAGATCTCTCTAGATCTAAATACGTGGTGTAAACGATGGAATTTATATTTCTCCGTTTTATTTATTTTGCCGCCAAAAACCACTTGATGAAGAGCTGGCTGGCGGAGAAGTGGCGATTAATTTTCCACATCAAATGTAATGCACTCTTGCCCAATACATTTCGAAATGACATACAGTCAATTTTACTGTGATAAACCTTTTAAGTTTTTGACATTTAATTACAAAAGTACATACTGTCCAAATAATGTTCCAAATACATTGCCTTCGCCATTTTCGCAGCTTCTACTTCTATTTAGTTTGAGATTTTGTTTAGGTTTTTCGTTCAGGAAGTATAACCGGAAGTGATTTAAAATGCCAGATTTTATCCAGGTAGAAAAGGAATAAATACTCGGAGAAAAACAAAAAGACAACTAGGCCTAGGCCTAATTTTGTTCTAATTTTTGTCCATGGGCAAGCATTTTTTGAAAAGTAGAACATTTTTTAAAACAATTTTATCATTTAATTGAGAAACATTTATGTCAAAAGTTTATTGAGATTTCATTAATTTCTTATGTGGAGAAAGCTACACAATATATTGTAGCCTCCGTGGCAATACAAGAAAATCTGCTGACTCTTTAAAAATATTCGTTCGTAAAAGATCAACTAATTAACTATGTTTATAATTTATTAATAATTGTTCCTACCCTACCCTACCCTGTTACCCTAACCTGTCTTAAAGGGGCAAATGTCTGTAAGGCACCTGGATGTTGTTTGTTTTTTTGGTTTTTTAAAACCATATTCAAGTCTCCGTTGGGTTTTTTCTGCTGTAAAACATCAGTTAGAGAGATGAGAACATTTTTGGTCAACGATAACCGTAAAAATAAAGAAATTGAAAAAGGTATTAGTGGTTG